CGTGACTGCAGGAATCCATACTTTTTGGTTCTTTCTTCAGTTAGGTGGAAGCTTTAGTAAGGCTTCTGCTGGTCGTCCCTACCTCCTCTGTAGAGACTAAGGGGAGTTTTAGTGCCCTGAGGAGGCTTAAGACATGGCTTCGATCTTCGATGAGTCAAACAAGGCTGAAAAATGTGGCCATGTGTCACGTGCACCAGGAGAAACTGGACCTTGAAGGAATATGCCAGTCTTCTATCGGTGTCAACGATAAGCGCAAAAAAGGCCTTGGGATTCTTTGCTTGAAGAATGTCAAGTCAAAACACTTGTCATTGCCTGGAGAGGAGATGAGAGGATAGGAGAGGAGAGCAGAGGAAAGGAGCAGAAATTACTGTAGAGCAGGGGAGAGGAAAAGAGATGACTGGATAAGAGAGAAGAATCTAGGACCAGAGGAGAGGAGGAGAGAGTGCTGGAGAGGAGAACAGAGCAGAGCAAACGCCCCTGCTGCCCACCCAAGTTTACTTGTAAATATTTAAATAAAAACAACAATTTGCTAAATCTTGGCCACAATATCTGGACTTGTCTCCATATAACAATGCATAGACATATGTTTATATCATTGTGGTTATGGTTGCACCTTATTAATCCCTAATCTCTGCCATTACATACAATGAAACAAGAAAAGGTAAAAAAAGAAAAAAACAGCAATGTAATACAATACACCATTAGACATTAGTGTAAAAAAATAGAAAAGTCCATCCCATGCGTTAGTGAATTTTTTAATATTTTAGGCAGGAAATTAGTTTTTAAATTTTGATTTTTTTTGGGGGGGGGGGACCCCCAGACCCCCTGGAAGATTTGGTCCCCCCCAATGTTGACTCCATGGCTGCGGCCTTGCGATATACAAACGTTAGGATAGAAGCATGAGCAAAACTTTAACACCTTCTGTTTTGTACTGATAAAGAGCCACTAAATAGGTCCACACTAATTTCAAATTAATATGCCCTCCTGTGCTATCTTTGGAATGGAAGGTGAAACCGCTTATGATATTCAAAGCGTTAATCTAAAACCACCAGATTTTAAAATGTGATGATTAATAAAAGTGGCGACATGAAGCACAGAAAATTACACGTGCTGCATGTGGCACGTTAATGCAGTTCTGCCCACATGCAAGCACTGAAAATGATGGTATAAGGGGGTACAAATTATAGGATGTAATGCACATCTGAGAGAACATGATTTGACTATATAAAGATATGTTTATTCCTTCATTGAAAATGAATCTCGTCACACATGGTTTTATAAGCCACACGTAATGAGTGGGGACATTCAGTACTGTCATGAGTAAAACTAATTTTTTAAGCAGCTTGAGCACAAGCAACCTCTTTAGTCAGAAAATATCCTTCTAGTTACGTATCATTCAGGGTATCGGTAGTTATGTGTCATGGCGTTGGCATAGTGATTACATCACCCTGATATCACCCTGATTATTATCACCCTGTGCTACAATCCTACCAATCCAGATTTGATTCTATTTATTGATCATGTGCAATGCCAATAGCAATTGTAATCTGAAACTTACTAGGGCCTACCTGAGATGAATATAGCCTAAAACAAATATCTGATTTGGTGAATTGTATCACAACTGGAAGAGAGAGGTGGATAGTCATGATATTGCGACACCACCCCGTCATGTGGTGTGCTGGCTTTAATAGGTGCTTGCTAACATTACTTGTCTGCTAGTGCACATGGCTAAATAGGGAATGGTATGTTTGTGGCTCTATAATGTATGCTAGCTGTGAGCTGAAGTAGAATGTTGGATATACACATGTGTTGTGAATCACTTCAGAGATACGAATAGTAGGAGGCACTCTCGTTTATTCTATCCATCACAGGTACAGGGGCTAACTATACTATGGTCAGGACAGCTAGCACACTGCCTGACCAACAACGCCGAGGAAGTGAAGGGGAGGACAAAGACGGGGATGAAGTCTTGGTAGCATGACGGGTTCCAGACGACAGCCCCGACCATGAGTCGGGGCCTCCCTTTTATCCCCCCAGCGGGGCCTGGATCTGCCATCAGCCACGCCCCCTTTTGGAACCTACCAGAAGGTTCCCGGCTTCACCTCACGTGTCCCCTCCATCACTTTTGCCCTACATCCCTTCCCCGGCCTATCACATGCCCTGCCGGCAGACCGGGCCGCTACACCCTCAGATCCCCCTCTCTGCCAGCAACCAGCGCTAGGCGCCCTAGTTACCCACTTTGTCACGACACATGTATCAATATGATTGGAGGGCATGCACATTACTTTCATTGACATGTGCATCCTGCTGGCACCTCGGAGGTAAACACAGCTTATGTAAATGCCTGCAAAAGTGCACTTAATTTGTGTCCACATGAATAGGCCTTTTTTTTCTTCTCTATAACAAGGAGACAAAAGGCACCCAGAGTGGTTCTGGCCTCATCATTTTTTAAGAGGCAATACCTTCATAGACACTTGTTCGCAGCAGTTTAACCAACACAATAGTTTAGCTTAGAAGGTGGGATATGGAATTTGTAAATGTGATGTATGTTTTTTTGTGTATGTTATACACATGTTGTGTGTATGCAATTTGGTGGGGGTGGTGCAAGGTAAAGTGTTTGCGTTCGGAACGTTGCAAGTTCAAATCCTGGTCCAGAGTTTCCTCAACGCATTATCATCCCCCAGTTTACTCAGCCCATTATTGTGGAGAAGTCAACATTGGAAATCCCATGGATAAACTTTCCCTCAAAATAGGAATATGGAATTTCCAACACTGGTTCAGGGATGTAATCAGGCGTTGACCACCACCCCATGCTCAAATTATTGGAAAACAACTTTACCAGAATTCTTTATTTTTATATTTCTTCTTTCAGATGTAGTGAGGGAAAAAAGGATTTGATCCCCTGCTGATTTTGTACGTTTGCCCACTGACAAAGAAATGATCAGTCTATAATTTTAATGGTAGGTTTATTTGAACAGTGAGAGACAGAATAACAACAACAAAATCCAGAAAAACGCATGTCAAAAATGTTATAAATTGATTTGCATTTTAATGAGGGAAATAAGTATTTGACCCCCTCTCAATCAGAAAGATTTCTGGCTCCCGGGTGTCTTTTATAAAGGTAACGAGCTGAGATTAGGAGCACACTCTTAAAGGGAGTGCTCCTAATCTCAGCTTGTTACCTGTATAAAAGGCACCTGGTCACAGAAGCAATCAATCAATCAGATTCCAAACTCTCCACCATGGCCAAGACCAAAGAGCTCTCCAAGGATGTCAGGGACAAGATTGTAGACCTACACAAGGCTGGAATGCCAAGCAGCTTGGTGAGAAGGTGACAACAGTTGGTGCGATTATTCGCAAATGGAAGAAACACAAAAGAACTGTCAATCTCCCTTGGCCTGGGGCTCCATGCAAGATCTCACCTCGTGGAGTTGCAATGATCATGAGAACGGTGAGGAATCAGCCCAGAACTACACGGGAGGATTTTGTCAATGATCTCAAGGCAGCTGGGACCATAGTCACCAAGAAAACAATAGGTAACACATTACGTCGTGAAGGACTGAAATCCTGCAGCGCCCGCAAGGTCCCCCTGCTCAAGAAAGCAATGAACATCTGAATGATTCAGAGGACAACTGGGTGAAAGTGTTGTGGTCAGATGAGACCAAAAGGGAGCTCTATGGCATCAACTCAACTCGCCGTGTTTGGAGGAGGAGGAATGCTGCCTATGACCCCAAGAACACCATCCCCACCATCAAACATGGAAGTGGAAACATGCTTTGGGGGTGTTTTTCTGCTCAGGGGACAGGACAACTTCACCGCATCAAAGGGACGATGGACGGGGCCATGTACCGTCAAATCTTGGGTGAGAACCTCCTTCCCTCAGCCAGGGCATTGAAAATGGGTCGTGGATGGGTATTCCAGCATGACAATGACCCAAAATACACGGCCAAGGCAACAAAGGAGCGGCTCAAGAAGATGCACATTAAGGTCCTGGAATGGCCTAGCCAGTCTCCAGACCTTACTCCCATAGAAAATCTGTGGAGGGAGCTGAAGGTTCGAGTTGCCAAACGTCAGCCTCGAAACCTTAATGACTTGGAGAAGATCTGCAAAGAGGAGTGGGACAAAATCCCTCCTGAGATGTGTGCAAACTTTGTGGCCAACTACAAGAAACGTCTGACCTCTGTGATTGCCAACAAGGGTTTTGCCACCAAGTACTAAGTCATGTTTTGCAGAGGGGTCAAATACTTATTTCCCTCATTAAAATGCAAATCAATTTATAACATTTTTCTGGATTTTTTTGTTGTTATTCTGTCTCTCACTGTTCAAATAAACCTACCATTAAAATTATAGACTGATCATTTCTTTGTCAGTGGGCAGACGTAGAAAATCAGCAGGGGATCAAATACTTTTTTTCCTCACTGTATATGCACACATACTCTTCAAACCCCCAAATTATATAATTAAATGTTACGATTTTGGGTCACAATTCAGAGCAAGAATCGTTTTTCTGTCTTGTTTAACTTTTATGCATTACATCTCTCGGCCCTACTTTGTCCAAATAGGTTTGAAAAAGTATGGAAAATGTACGCAGTTTTTAAAAAAATGATTCGCGTGTCAAAGCGTGCATTATTTCTGCGCAAATACTTTGTGAAGTGTTTTTTTTTTCAAGTAAACGTGTTTGTGGTACACTCTTGCATGCACAAAGCCACAATTAATGTTTGCAAATATTTAGCCTTTGCTATGGATCGATATATATGGTGGCACAAATCAATGCTTTTGAAGAGAAAATTCAATACACTTAAGTGGTAAGTGGTAATTAGTGAAGAAGTTACTTTTCCTGAATGTGTACAATAAAAAAAGATTACCACCAATTTAACTTCATTACATTGGTGGTTTGCATTTCGTTTCCCCTCGGTTGTTAATGCAACCATGTCTTTTAAAATGTATTTGCCTCATGTGGCCATACCATGTAAAGTAAATCATGTCCCTTCCTGATGCAGGCTTTCTGGAGAAGGAGATGAAGCAGGCAGAGATCCAGGTGGTCGACAGCCACTCCGATCCCCCTGCACCAGACCCTCGGGAGATGATTGACCTGGAGGTAAAACTGCCTCACTCAGACACTTATGGACTGAGCTTCTTTACGAACACAACCATTAAATGCCACTGACAAGCAACATTTTAAGAAATATACTTGTTGGAATAAGGCCAATTTTCCAGAAACATATAATACTCTGACCCTCAAAAGTAAATCCAAGCCACCTTAATCCACACCTCTGATTAGCACGGTTGTATACGTGCGGTGCGACAGAAGTTCAACATACATATTTAACCCACAGTATGTTTTATTTCACATTCTGATGGCTAGATTATGGATGCAGAGTGTTTGTTATCACATTCGCTGTGACTCACACCTCAGATGCTGTTAAAGCTATCGTATCTTTGTTACAATATTTGACATTGCTATTAAAGGGCTTTAAATTTCCATGCCAGCATGAGTTGCTTGGTTTTAAGAGTGATGTTTTTTACGTGATAAAAACAACATGTAGTGTATTCTTAGTTCTTTCAGGAAAGTCACGTAGATAGAAAATAAAAATGATAAAATTAATTAAAATAAATCGAAAATACAAGCAAAATACCCACGACGTTTCGATCGCAACACAAGCGGTCTTCTTCTTTTCTCTCCGCCTGATGAAGGCCGCTTGCGTTGCGATCAAAACGTCGTGGGGTTTTTGCTTTTACTTTAAATTTATTTGAAATTTAAATTTATTTTATTATTTTTATTTTCCATCTACGTGACTTCACGGAAATAACCAAGAATATGAATTCCTGCAGTCACGAAAGTTTTAAGACAACATGTAGTGTTGCAGGCGCAATTGGAAAGGTCAGTCGAATACAAGTTAACTCACTCTGATTGCACCATGACCTTCACCGATGGCACCTACTTCCACCTTATTATTATTACTATCACCATAAAATTTACCAGGTTTACAGCCATGGGAATAACCGTGCCCTAAAAGCTAGATGATTGTAAAGGCTTCCCCAAGGTACCATGGCATTTGAAATGCACAAGATAAAATGTGATTTTAGGCATGGCAAATGGTTTCTTCTCTCATGATGAAAAACATTCGTTGTGGTATTAAATACGGTTTGCCATTTTTTTTATTACACTCATTGTAAATTCAACCAACATTCATTCATTAATCCATCTGGGTCGACTGGAAGTAAATTGGAAGAATGCACAAAAACAATAGAACTCATTTCCTCTTGACCCCAAACATGGTCTCTCATAGTGATGCAAGCAAACAACTTCATCCTTCACGTAGTTCTCGATCTGCCTATTAAATATCTTTGTATCTGACCTGATATACTACACTTCACATACTATATTCAGCAACAGAGAATTGTGTCAATGGATATAATTAATTGTAAATAAGGCAAATAACAAGTCTTGATAAATAATGGCAATTGCTTTAATTTATATGGCTCAATTAGTTTCAATTAGTCTCATTGATTGCTTACTGACAAATATATACATTTTCACCCTAATAATGAGCAAGGACATATTTCAGATGGCCCCAGTGACTAGTATGGTGAAGTATAGTCTAATGACCCCCCATGAATGGTCAACTAAAATCATAGCGATCCACCAGTCAGTTATGGAGTCAGCTGGGAGGGTGAAGGAACAGATGGTGCTCGGAGTCACAGACGTAGATAAACTCACAAAGGCTATGCATAGCAACATGAGAGTATGTGTTATGAAAATTGAAGAGCACATACAAACCTAAATACATTGTAAAAAAACTGAATAGAAAAAATATTAGCGATTTTAGATTTTCTGATGATGTATCCATGATAACAAGCAAGGAAAATTAACAAATTGAAATAAAAATAAATGTGTGCAAAACAAGAGTCACGTAGAATTGGTTTGCTATACAAAGGAAAATCATTGTTGGAACGATTACACTAAAACACTAAATATATACCTAGGGCAATATTTAAGGCATATCGGGATCACAATGATGGTTACAGAGTAGGACGGAAGACCTTTGAACAATAAACTTTGATAATGAAAAGTAAATTACCAATGTGTCTCTGAAGAGGAACATTTTCAAGCAGTGAATATTGTCTGCTATGACAGATGGATCAGAGACGTGAAACACGTTCTGAAAGTATACAAAAATCATGGAGAAATACACTCTGGTTTATTACGCTGAGAGACAGAAAGAGGAACATTTGGGTTAGAGAGCACATGCAAATTAGGGTCATCATATTGACTGTAAAGGAAAATAAGTGGGTCTGAGCAGGACACATCGCTAGAAGGGATAGTAGCTAACAAATGCGCCTGGTCATGGAATGGCATGTAAGAGGAGGTAACACTCCCAAAGGGGACAACACTGTGGAGATGGAATGATGAAACCAGTTCACGTGCATAAGTAAGATGGATTGTGGCACCACAAGGCCGTTAGGCATGGCGTCAGTGTAGGGAGGCCATTATCTAACAGAGAGATCAGGGTTCATTAAGTTTACAGTTTATTATTAAAGAGAAACGTCCACTTAACTTAGTATGCAATTGATGCTTCAGCCATATAATTTGTGAGATTGTTGGTTATAAAAGATTATTCACAAAACAATATTCAATTTCACGTATGCATAACTTTTAAGTAAATATAAAGATTGCTTGCTTTGTATTTTATTGTATCTTTAAATGTATCGAGGTACTTAGCCAGCAACAATCCGAATGTAGATTTGAGCAGTGGTGCCAACAACTGTGAAATTAATGCTTTTGATCTGTAATCTGGAAAGGTTTACTTATTGCAAAACCTGACGCTTTCGGCTTTGTCATCGATGGCAGCACAAAGCTAACTTACTCCAAGGTGTTAAAATTGCACTTTTCTCCCCGTAACTAGCTAAGAATTCCCAGTTGCGTGGCAGAAATCAATGTTTTGAGTCTGGTGGCTGATGCTGTCACAGAATCCCATGAGGGCGGTGGATATCATTCGGCCGTCAATCCTCTCTACACCACATCTGGAAAGCCATTACAACTGAGAATGGTGTTAAAACAAGTTGAAAATGGCTTTATTCATTTTCTCACATCCTTCAAAGATGTAAATATAATCACCAGGATATTTTCAATCAGTGCTGGGCATTAGTGCTGGTTGCTTCATGTTCTCTACTTATACGTTAATACATATACTTGCATCTCGGAAGGTAAATGTCGAAGAGGATATAACAATAACACATTGAAATATATGGCATGTCTGCAAGTGGAAACATTTGAAGTTTCCAAATGTTTGTGGGCGATAGATAATTCAACAGAGTGCTTCTACTTCTGTAGTTTCTACAACCTTAAACTGCGTGGCATGCAATACCTTGTAGACTAAACGCTCATGGCCATCTTGTTATTTGTCCACAACTGTCGAGTACCACGTCCTTTTACTATGCCCATAAAACTATTCAGCAGCTAAGCTAGATAGAAGGCAGTTTAAAGCCAAAAACAAATATTTAAAGGAGTCTAATTTTAATTAAAAAATTATTGGCTTTGCCCTATCGGGAAAGAATACGTGTTAAGATGTTCAAACACCAAAGAGACACCTATTGCCTTGAACATCTATTGCAAGGCAATAGGTGTCTATTTGGTGTTTGACCATCTTAACAGCATGCATTATCGCCAGAGAGCATGAAGCCTATTCTTTTTTCATAATTTTGATACTGGCAAAACATGGTCCCATAGATTTGTCTAATTTTGTTTTGGTTCGTCTTGATGCATAATCTCTAAAGTAATGAGTTCTGGCAACTTACCAAAAAAATACTGAAATTTATTGTATCCTTTATTTAAATAAAAGCTCTACACTGATAGCCTCAACATATCTGAAAGTGTAATTGCGGCCCAGCTTTTTATCAGATTGACTGCACACGGCAGCTTAATCCATGACTCCCGCTGGTTTGAGATTTTAAATTTTCTCAAACAGACCTTGGTCTGTACATGGCCCAAGGTACTTTACTGCTCGCTGGCTATTTGCAAGACAAACATTTAGTTTTTCTCCATAATACTCCAGTATGACCAACAGCTTATAAAAAAAATAATTGCACATGGAATAAAATAATAATTATGAAGCATGCAGTAAAATTTTCCAAAGTATTTTTCTTTAAAACGTTTTTTTAGGATGGAACATTTTTTAAAAAGTACTTTTTATATGAGGAAATGTTTAACATTCGTTTTTCCTTTGAAGTGGTAATATTTTTTAAAGAACGCATCAGGGCGAGTTATGCAGGGCATCATGTGCTTGAGTCAGAGGCATACCAAGGGTGATGTCCTCATCAACACAAATTGATGGTGCTTGTGGACTACATCTTATCTATCGTAGCAATAACTGTACAGTGCGGTGTTTAGTTTTGTATACAATATTCTTATATGAGTAAAAAAAAACAGCACAACAGTTTAGTTCCAACTTTAAAAACTGGCAATTGTGAGGAGGGGAAAATCCGTAATACAAAAGTAAATCATTTGACCTTTTATATTAATAGGGTTTTATGTGCATATACTGTTTTTCGTTTGCGTGTGACAATCACACTTGTACATGCTCATTAATGTAAATCACCGAAAATAACCACAATGCAGCCACAAATGCTATAGTAAAACCCACATGACCAGACAGGCATTTTGTTAGATTCCCACAGGAACTTGTTTGCTTAAGAATTTGAGATGCAATCAGGCCTGAGGAGAGGAGGTGATGGGGGGGGAGACAGAACTGTACGTGGGTCCCAAACTCATGGACCCACCCAAAAAATACAAGGTTTTTTAAAACATAAATTTACATGATGGGGGGGCTTCCCTAACCAACATTATGCATCTGGATCCCAAATGCGATGGGCCTGTATTCATGCAATCAAGACGATATATCAGTAATTAGTCCAATTGAAAAGCAGCAACCCTTGCTCGGTAAGTGGGAATACATGCAGAACTATTACGCACAGCCGCTCATCAGAGAACACACGATTGGCATGAAGAACAGAACCTCATTATAATAATAAGTAATACTTGGGAAAAAAGGCGGAACACAGCAGTGGTGACTTTGAAGGACTACCACAGCACGGTAA